CGCTTCGTCACCTGGCATGCCTCGCTAACGTCCGCACCTAGGCGACTCCGCTTCTTCGGAATGATCTCCACGGCATCCGAAAAGATGCATTCCGCGGGGACCAATGTACCCATCATTGTGATGTACCCCTGTAAAAGGATATTTGCATGCTATTAGCATGCTATAGCATTTGGCATGAGCGGGCTAGGCTAGGCTATGCTATGCTAGAGGTCTGGGTCCTAGCATTAGCCTTAGCCTAGCCTAGCATAGCCTGCCCTAGCATTAGCATTTACCTAGCATTGCTAATGCTATTGCCATCACTGCTGAGAAGTGCTGATCTGTGTGACCAGAAAACGTTTGGAAAGCGAATTTCGGGCCCTTGTTTTGCTCTCTAGCTTAGCAGAAACCCACACATATTGCCATTTGAGGCTCCGCTCCAGCGCGACGAGCAACATAAAAGACAGTTATATCTATCAATACGACATGGTCGAGTCGACAAAGGCGTCGCGTCTCTTGCACTTAAAGATGGATAAGCAGCGCTCCCTAAGCCAGAACCACAACTGGTGATTGTTCTGGTTTATGCGGCGGAGTGTCGTACCCTTTTTACTCCAATCAGTGAGCACGGAGTGCGTGATTTAGGCTGTCATGACGCGAAGCACAACGTACGCTTTTCCTTATTCAACGGCTCTGCCGTATGTCTTTTGGTTAGAGCAAAGGTGTCGAGTCAGAACTCGGAAAGTCGGCATGACCATTTCCATTGGAGATCACATTGGCCTGATCGCCGAGAATGACTTAATGATCTGCGTCTTTTAAGGTTGACTGATTCGTTTGATGATATCTAAGAGTGGATACTCGCGCTGCGAGTACGCTCGTACGAAAAGGCTTTGTTGGTGCAATGGGTGGTCAATAAATCCAAACGCAGTGGGTACTTGTGCCAAATAGCAAAGAGTATGGACGTCAGTGTTGTCTAGCCGTTATAGAGGGAACGTAAACATTAAACGTTTGGACAAAATTGCAGGACTCAGATGTATGAAAACATTGGATCCATAAGAACGATGGAATGTAGATGACCTTCAGACGCGTGTGCTGATAGCTTCACATAGCGCGAAGCATATATTTTTTTTATTGATAGTCGAACAACAAATTTAAATTGATTATGATTAGTCTAATTAAAACTCTGCTTGAAATATAATTCAAGATAAAGAGCAACCCAGGGAACTTGTTGCTGTGCAGACTCTCGTAATGCTTTCTTTCCATTCCTCCATAAATGGCTGAAAACTTAACATAAGCAACTTTACCGTAAAAACAACTCGCACTCCCATCGTCGACTGGTTCGGGCCTCTATCGTAGCTGTAGACCACCAAGTGGGCTATCGGACCGCATTCAGCTAAATACATTCGACTCCAGTTGTCCCAAGGACAAAAAGTCGAGCAACTCGTGTTCCATTCTCAAACAATACCACGGTAATTACACTGTAGGGCAGTATGTCGCCACGTTTACGATCTAATATATCAAAGAAACACAAAGTCATTTGAAAGATTTTTGGTTTCGCTCCTAGGTGAAGCGCATAAACCTAACCTTGGTGCGTCGTCAGCGCAAAACCGTTCAGTCAAAGCTATCTCGGTGCAATCCCTACACTCCCTCTGCGAGGTCCAACTATTTAGCAGCCGGCTCCTTCAAGATTGCGCTTATTTTTAAACATTTAAAATCCAGCAAACTTTTTGCTGTCGCTATTCCCTGGTGGTAGCAGCGTTGTGCGACGCAACTCGCTTCCCATTAGCTAGTGGATCCCGGCCTTGCTGCGGCGTGGTTCTGGATATGAACGAGCTGTTGTCAGATGAACTAAAGGCAAATGCGAGTGTCCACCTCAACCCTGACGTCATGCCTTGAGCTTCGCAAAGTTAAGCATTTAGCGACATTCAGATCTGAAGATCCTTGCATTGACTTTTCCTTGCAAAGCAATAGACACGATATGACATCGCTGTAAGCACCTTCATTTATGCTCGCTGTGTATGCCGACAAGTAATTCGGGCTCGTTGAGCTGAGTCTAGTGCAGTGGTGATGGAAGCCAGTCCCGTAGTGGGTCATTTTACAGTTCACCGCTTCGAGAACGGGAACTGTGAGCACAGCTCACGTGGAGGTGGGTGTGAGCATTCAAGCGTCAAGGAATTCCCAATTGATAAGGAGCGGCAAGACATTGAGTCTTTAGATGAAAAACGGTGGCATGTCGGGACTCGGTGGCTCATTTGACGTACCGAAGATTGCCTCACCTTTATTATTAAATAGGACTTTAATGACGCCAGTCTAAGGGACTGCGTCCTTTTTGCGGCTTGTCAAGCCATGAACTGAAGCAAGAGGTTAACAAGGATTGTTTTGGCGTAGACTACACTCGTCATATTCGCACTGAAGTAGTTTTGGAACTATGCTGATGGTTTGTGATCACAATAGGATTCACAGAAAAGAGTGTACTGGGTTCATCCGACTCGAGGCGAAATTCCGAAGTACCGTGGTGAAGTATGAGGTACGAAATTGGATCCAAAAAGACGTGAAAAAGCATGATAGTAAATCTTATATAATCTGTATACCCCTTTAATCCTAAATATGTCAATCATTATTCTGCGCAAGTGTAAAGTACTGGGCGCTGGAGAGGGTCTAAAATTTCACATTGTATGAACGACCTTAGCACTCATCATCTGTGTGCTTGTTAACGCGGAATCTAAGAGCCACAAAAGATTTAAGTAAGGTGCACAGAAATGTTGTTGCACCTTTTCCCAAGTACTTGTAATCAATACGAGCTCCATATAGGCATATGAACACAAGGACGAACAAGTAGTTGGTAATAGTGCGGCTACATACATCCGCTAGTTAGATGTTGGTAGGTGGGCAACGCTGTGCAACTAAACAAATGGACAAACGAGGTTAAAGATACGCCTTCGTGTGAACTGGTCACACTTGCTGAATATTAACCATCAGCGGGGTGTGGCGTTACGAAAATAGCACGCAGCTCGAAATGCATGCTAGAAAGACAAATATCACGATAGCTTACTCAGCAAAATCTCGGTATACATCCCTTTAAGCCAGACACCGCGAATTGACGTTCACTAAGATTTCCTTAGCTTCATCAGGCAAAATATGACTCCGGCTATTAATCTTCAGCGCTGCTATATCGATTTATAGCATTTCATTAAAAAGCCTGACTTCATTCAGCACAACAAAATTTACTACGCGGCCTAGTCACCGCAATTTTGCGATAATACAGTTCTCAGCAAAGTTCTTCTGTTTTGCGGAAATTTGTTGATGTTCTTCTTTTTTCTTTTATTAAACATCTGTGTCGAGCACAATATATCACATGGATTAACCGTTCTAATAATTAGACCGATTTTATTCTAGTCACTGTGTAAAAATATGAAGTTTACCTGAGTAACTCAAAAGCTATTTATTATACGAGAATTCCGCATTGAACGCGTCTGGGTTTGCGCGGATCGTAAGCATGCATTACGAGTTCGTAGCTGAACTGGAAGTGACGTACGGAAACGCACTTGCTGCAGGTGGCGGATTTCATCGGGTTACGACAGCCGAAGGCGTGGCCGCTGAGGTGGCGCCGCACACGTATCTTTGGTATAAACTATCTACTGAGGCGGAGCCCACCTTAGAATCTGACTCCGCCCCGCTTGCAATCATGAACTTGTGCTTTGGGGATGAGAATTTGCCTTGTGGTGATGATGATACGTGGGTGAAGCTGGACAAGGCAGTGGACCGCCAAAAAGGCCGCTATCTATGGTTCCGGACCTCGCAGTTTCAACCTCGTACGTCATTCTCAGAACAGAAAACCGAGGTCATGCCTCTCAAAGAGATACGGGTGGTAAGAGATCTTAAAGATGTCCCAAAACTCTTCGAAAGTCTCGACGAACCGCTCCTCAGCGTTGATGACGTAGGAAGTAAGCAGAAAAAACACTATATTAATTGTTGCAGTGATTAATGCCAATGATTGTTGATGACAGAGGAGATGCGGACGTACCTGTGCTTTCAGAGACTTAGTAGTGAAGATTTATCAAGCTCTACTTGGTCTATTGTAAACCAAAAAGTGGGCAACTGGATCGACATCAAAGACCTGTCGTCCAATAAGTGGAGCGTGGCCCAGATTCTGCAGCACTCAGTATCAGAGATACGCGCGCATATTCCGACGTGGAATAAAGGACGTAATGAATATTTATCACGCTCAACGTATCGAAATCGGGTTGCTAAGCTGGGTACCCATACAAACATATACATGTCTCCAGCCTATCCGTATCCAAGGAAGCAAGGTAGTTTGTGGAGCGCTACTTTGAAAGACTTACAACAAGCTCGCGAACACTTTGACAAATATTTCTACGACCGAGACAAGCAGAAAACGTATTTGCAGCAAAATCTTATACCATTTGTTGAAAAGTCGCTGCTGTGTACGTTTTTGTCGAGTGATCTTACAGAAGAGATGAATGCATTTCATCAGCACGTGCTGAAAAACGTCATTGCTTGTATGCTTGGCAATGATGCGGACAGTGTGATGGAGTTGATGCTATCCTTATTGCGAATGATTCTTAATGGCCATAGCTCTTGCATGTTTTATTATGTCAAGTACCCAGGAAATTACTCGGCGACTAAGTACCAACGTTTGGTTTATACGTCATATTTACTTACTCCTGATGCGTTGGCGGCGATACCTTCACGCAATCCCTGTCGATCATTATACTTTATTGACAATGTCGATCTGTTCATTCAAGCGGGAGGCTTTCAACTAATTTTAGAACGCCTTGCGAGTGACAACATTGCGCTCACTGAGGTCTTGCTGTACTGCACAATTTTTAACACAGCAAAACCATGCCTTATACAGCACAAGCAGCGCCGCAACTCGGCTTCGATTCGTCAACAATCGACGACTGAAGCGCAATCAGAAGATTTTTTTCGCGAATTCTGGATTGCTACTTTTTCGCGGCTGCGGCGCATGACTGAAGACGAGCTTAAAAACGACGATGGGATTATCGATCGCATTGTGGGCGCTCTGGATCTCCTTTGTCGCGATGGATTATTGCTTGGAAGTTGCCGCACCAGGCCAGATATCGACGATTCGAGCGCATTGGGTATCATGGATTTGACTCGTGAATTGGAATTTGCGGAGGCGATCGAAATTTTTCATTTGGATCTTTCGAAAAAATTTATTTGCTGTCCTTATCTGTCGCGACGATTGCTGAGTATTTCACGTATAAACGAATTGATTTTGATGGCGCAACGAAGGGATACTAGTCAGAAAAAGGCAAGCTTAAATTCGCGACGTGCACCAGCCTCAAGTACATTGTCAGCCTTCAGCACGAGTACTTCTTTGTTGAATTTGGATAACGAGCCTATGACAACGTGGTTACGCTCGAAGTACATCGTGGAATGGTTGGTATCATCTGATTTCTTGGAGATAATCCTGGGAGACCGAGAATGTTGTGCAAAATACGCTCTCCAAGAGGGTACACATTTAGAAATCCTGAAGCGCTCTAAAAGAATATTTACCTTTGTAGCGGCCCATGGTCTGTTAACGGAGGGGCATATTGTGCTTATGTGGAAAACAGCTTTAAGTCAACTTAGCTCTGGCAGAAAAGCAGTATTTGACATGCTTATTACTCTTTGTGGTGTACTTTCAGCAGAGATGGTGGATGTTGTCGTGATACTTTTGACGCAAGTTGCTGTGAGCGACTATGATGAACTCATTGTCGACTTTATTAAACGCGTGATAATGATCGCCTCTAAGCTCGTTGTTGATATGGAGACGGGTGGATCAAAGCTGTCGCTAACAGCACTTGTCACTGCTGCGTCTGGCTCGAGAAACAAACAGAGCTTCAGTGCTCAAAAAGATGTCGAAGTCCTAAATAAGGTGGTGAGCTTATGTTGCACTCTGTACTGGAATGCAATAACTCAGACTGAAGCGTCTGGTGAAAATAGTATTCGTGAATCGATGCGTGCTGGCGTTGAGATAGCTCTCGCTGACTCGTTAAATTTTGTGCAAAAGTTGTGGATTTCCTCTGGTCATTTATCATCACCATCGGGTGTAGAGCAGCAGCAATTATTGGGTGATTATCTTCGCAGATGTGCACAGAACATCGAGTGCGGAACGCTGGTGGAAACGTCCATGAGATTGATTGAGCTAATTGTGAGAGGCTACGGCGGCGGGTCCTCATTGGCTACTTCATTGGTAAATGTAAACTCGCTTCCTACAACCTCGAGCAATCTTTTGGAGAAATTAAACACTGCACACAATATCGTGTCTGTAGTCGTTAACGCAATCACGAGCTGCGTCGCTCAGTCTGAGAGCCGATCCCAACAGTCTTTATTGGATGCCATCATGATGCGTTTGAAATTCCTTGGTTACATCGTGACCAATTCCGACTTAAATCTATCTTATGAGGCAGTTGGCATTTTGTGGAGTTGTTTTAATGCCCCGGATAGCACCACGGAAGAACACAAAGTTTTTTTTGCATGGTTCACATCTGTCCTTCCTGATCCTAACAACTTTGTTCACCGAGCGTATTCTGGTCATGCAGGTTTAGCTGAAACTGTGGTATGTGAAGTTTTTCGATCTTTGACCAAGCCAGACGCAGGGACAAATAAAGAGATAGGTGCTTCTCAGTTTTGTTTAGACGTGCAGACGATGGGTGAGGAATCGTTTTGGGCACTAGAGCGCTTGTTTCGATTTGTCAACACAAGTACAAAGCGTATTTCCTTGGCTGCCTCGCGGAGAGTGTCGCACACCACAAATGAATCCGGAGGTTTTGTCGTAGAAGCCATGGATTTAGAAGGCCTAGAGACACTTTATGATGTAGCTCTGCTAGCAAAGAGTGACATCGTAAGTCAGCAAGCGAGCAATTATCTAATTTATTTGCACCTTCACGTCGGCTCAAAGCTTGTACGACGTGAGGTCTGGACAGACTTTGTGGAAAGGTGCTTCCGTAGATTAGAGCAGGAAGTTCAGACCACGGATGGTTTTTTCAAGCCACTAGTGGTACTTCGTTTGTCAGTACTACTAAGTACTTTCCTTCATCAGTCAGTTATTCACTCGCACGGTAGTGCCAATGGAGAAGGGGCTTTTGATGGCCCAGAGGAACTCAATGTTCACGTGCGAACGCAAGGGGGTCGAGTCGCCGCACCTTTTCGCTATCATTTGAAACGAACCTCGCTAGTTTCAGAGCTGCGTGATCGAATTGCCAAGGATACAGGTCATCCTGCGGATCGAATTCGAATTGTGAACTCGGGAAAGGTTAAATTGACCGCACAAGGACATGGAAAATTCACCCTCGAGAAAGCTCGTATTTTCAATGAATCGGTTCGGCCCTCTCGCTTGCATCCAGAAACGCTGCCGATTAAGCAGAAATCACCAGCTATTTCTAACGAAGCCAAGCGTATTAGCTACGTCGAGGCCATCCTTCTGTCAAAAGTGGAAAGCGATACGAGTGGGCACGCTAGTCGCAGTACCTTAGACTTTCACGGCGCCGCAAGTGCTGCTGCTGCGGCAGGTATAGTTACAGGTACAAATACAATTGGAAGTGGGAACAATAGCTGTTTAGAGAGTGATTGGCTTTTAGTCAAAACCGAAATTTCAGGAAACGAGAAATGGGTAGCACTCCTATTCAATCTCCTATCATATAACGATGGCATTGCTGAAGAAGCTTGGAAGATACTCAAGCTGCTCCCGACTAATGAATCCATGGAAAAAGCAATGCGTACATTGAATAATGTGCTCGCGATTGATGGGTCTTTTCGTAAGAAACCGACCTCGTTCGAGTGGAAAACTCTTTTGGAATCTGATTGTCCTCCAAAATTATTGTATCAGCTTGAGCTTGTGGAGAAATTTGCACTCTGCAGTGATAGATGCAATGGCCAAGACAGTGATGAAGAAGGAAATCAAAAAGTTTCGAACCTTACTAGTGAATCTGAAACAGATGATTTAATTGGCACTGCAAATTTCTGGAGTGCGTCTTTCATAGAACTTGGCGGACAGACTCGTCTCGAACAATTTGTGCTGTCGTCAAATTTGCGTCAGCTGCTTGGCCAAGGAACACTTTATGAAATGTGCTTATCTAAACTTCTTAAACTGCTTCGCCATTTCGTTCTGATTAAATCTAAATTGGAGGAAGTGAGAAACGACTTACCCCAACAAAATTTTCATCAGCTAATTCGTCAGCTCCTAGAAACGCTGAGTAGTATTCTGGCGGTAGACAAAGCGTCCAGAATTGCCCCATCGTCCAATTTGTTATCGAATGAGAAGTCTAACGCAAATACAAAGGATTTTGAGAAACCACTTGCTCTGACGATGCACACTCGCCCTCAGGTTGATGACCCTGACAACATCGACAAAATTCCGAGTGATGCTTACTTAATGACACGACTGCTATCTTGTATTGCTACGTGTGCTCTGGCGGCGAACCAAGGAGCATCAGCATTTTTGGAGACTTCTCCGGATCATGGAGACGTCATTTTGCGTTGCCTCGTAGAGAGCCGCTTTAAGCCTGTTCGGTTGGAGGCCGCCAACGCAATTGCTGCTTTGTCAACTGTGCAAAATAAGCTCCGGGCAGATCGATTTGCTTGCTGCAACTACTTTCTGCAGCTTATTGGAGGGTACACGGGGACCGTGACTAACGAGGAATACTATCATATATTCACATTGCTTGTATCAAGCGCAGAGGACCTTACTAATTTCGCAATTCTCTCGTCATGTAAGATCTTGTGTGGTCGAATTAAGGCGTTTAAAATTAACGATGAAGCTTCAGCTTTCACTGCTTCTACGAGTATCATGAAAGAAAGTAGGCATTTGGAGTTGGCAAAACTCACACCCAGTAATCAAATTTGTTTGTCCACCACTGATGCGCTTCTTGAAGGGCAGCTGTCAACACTGCTCTCTATCATAAAGCGAATCCCAGCAGTTTTAGCAGATGGCAATCTCGCCATACCATTTGGTAGACGCAGCTTGCGAGAGGTTGTTGCTCGAACGCTTCATAACGAAGAAGGGATTGTTCATGAGCTGTTCCACGAGTGTCTATTTGCTACATCTGACTTGAAAACGAGTGATGAGAGCCAAAGCGAGGGGAGTAACGTTGGGCTTTTTAATGGTCAGGCGTGCTCTAAGTCCAAGTATTATTTACGGCAACCGAAATGCCGCAGCGATTCTTGCCGAAAGATTGCTTTTGACTTACTCAAAGAGCTCTCAGTCGATAATACCGATGGCTTGCGTTATCTGTTGACCCAGATGGCTAATCAGCACACTCTTGACCGTCCACTTGATCCCCTCGCAACACCGTCGGCTTCAAAACTCAAACGGAAGAGTGCAAAGTCTATTAACGACCAATTGCTATTGCGCGGAAAATACGTGGGTCTCAAGAATCTTGGGTGTACGTGCTACCTCAATTCAACAATCCAGAGTTTTTTCATGATGCCGCGTTTTCGCCGACACATTCTGCGCCTACAAGCAAGCGGCAGTGAAACGAAGAGTCTTATATTTGAGCTTCAATCGTTGTTTGCACATCTTGAGGGAAACGCAAAGCCCTATTACAATCCGCGCTCGTTTACTCGTGCAATAAAGACGTGGGATGGAGAAACGATGGATGTAAATGTTCAACAAGATGCCAGCGAATTTTTAACGTCATTTTTCCAGCAAATTGAGTCGGAAATGAACGGCAGCAGTGCCAACAATGGGGAATTTCTTACAAGTGACGAAAGTATACTGAATACATTTTTTGGCGGGGAATTTAGCAATGAACTTGTTGCCGAAGGTGATCGTTATAGCGAGCGCTTTGAACCATTCCACTTCATTTCTTTGCCAGTTCGCGATCGTAAAAATTTAAAGGAATCGCTGGAGGGGTGGGTTCAAGGTGAAAAGGTAAGCTATACATGGGAACACACTTGTGATCTGAAAATTGGAGAGAACAGTACTTTTGATGATAGCAAAGACGAAACAAAAGTGACGCTGGATACGCACAAGCGAATTTCCATTTCAAAGCTGCCTGCCTATTTGATTATACATCTAAAGCGCTTTGAATTTGACTTTGAAAAAATGCAACAAATTAAGCTTCACGATCGATTCGAGTTTCCTACCGAGTTGGACATGTACCCATATACCAAGGAAGGTCAGCAAATAAAGAGGAGAAGATCAGTATCATCCGTTGATGACGGAACGGCTGCTCACGATGTCCGTATGCGTACGTCTTCTGACAGCACAGATTGTAGAAGAACGACAGCTCCAGAGTACTCACAATATGAACTCGTTGGAACTGTTGTGCACCTTGGAACGGCTCATTCGGGACATTATTATTCTTTTTTACGCGATCAACAAGTCCCACGGGACACGAATCTGTGGTATGAGTTTAACGACAAGCTGGTGAAACCGTTTGATCCAGCTCAGATTCCTGAAGAGTGCTTTGGAGGTGAAGAATCCGCACATTCTCATCAGAACTCAGCCACCAAGGTTTTATCACCTGAAGCTGATGCTGCATCGTCAGCAAAGATGAAGAAGCGCAGCAGTTTTATGCTCTTCTACGCCCGAGTGACTTCGTCACTACGACTGGTAGAAAATGAGGAAGTTTCGTGCGTTAGCTTTGCGACCATTGTTCTCGTGGTCGCATTCTTTTCAAGACTGAAGCGACGAGCGACCGAAAAGCTGGCTGCATTGCGTCGTGTGGCCCAAGTAATCGCCCCAGAACCGATCTGTAAGCTTATTGCGATGGAAAACCGCCTTTTCTGGCGAAAAAAATATCTGTACAATAAGCGATGTCTAAAATTTACATATCACTTGCTGCGATCTTGCCTCGTCGGATTTGAAAATGCAAAGAATATGGCTGTGATGCCGCATTTTGAGCCAGTAGAAGCTCAATTTGAGGCCTTGCAAGTGGCGACCAAATTTGTGTTGGGCACGTTGTTGCAAGGTGGAGAAGTAATCAAGCTAACGGAATGGCGTTTGATTTTGCAGTCTCTCTACCATTCTGACGTTGAAGGCTGTCGCTGGTTTTTATCGATAATGGAAGCCAACGAATCGCTACTGCTTGAGCTGCTGATCTTTCATGAGAATCAAGAAGTTCGTGAATTGATGGCCAATGTAATTTCGGAAGCAATAGTAACGACGTCGAATGCTCCATATGAAGGGGACGCACACGATAGAACATCAAGCTTGTCAATGGAAGATCAGAATAAGAAACTGCCTGCATCGTTCGAGTTCATGTTTTTTCTCATCCAGCTCATGCCTGCACTACTCTCAGTGCCTGTTCACCACCATCGACAGTATTTTTTCACGATGTACGATTTTGTGCAGACTGGGCGCAACGAAGGGTCGTTTCTAGTGGTGAATAGCGTGGTGGGTGCGATCGTGTCTCTACTCACTGGCCTTGGCAATACGCAACCTCTGCTTCAATCGCATCTGAGAAAGCATAAGTCAAAGCAAATTCTTAAACGCATTGACCTAAGCGTCACGATTTTAAAGCTATTGTCAGTGCTCATTCGATGCAGTGTACCTCCCGCAATGGATGTTGAGTCGAGCCATCTAAATCTGCCTACCAACATGGCGCAAGAACCCGTGGATCTTACACCAGCCGATCACAATGTGCTTTTGAACGAGCGCTTCATTACTCTGCTGACTCAAAGGGCGAATCATTACACGAAGGAGACAAAACCATTGGAGCAAATTATATGTCATCTCTGCTGGGAAAGTCGGCGTGTTTCTGCGGCATTCTTGGAAAAAATCATGCATGGTATCGAAGTGGAGGATCATCATGACGTCAAGCCATATTTTCGTACGTTAAATTCGCTACTCAAGATCCGAGACTCGCTTGCTGAAGAACGTCTCACGGATGGACTCACCAAACTCGTTGCCGTGATGGCATCGCAGCAACGCTACTACAAGGCCACCGAAACATCCCTTGACATGCTCACAAGGCTTGCCAAACGTCACAGTGGTGTGACACAGTGGCTTTGCTCTAATAGACAAAGCTGCATGTGGATGGAAAAGTGGCTACTAGCCCATTGCGGTGCTGAGGGATACCTGCAACAACGTAAAACTGTTTTGATCAAACCCAACAGTACATCATCGTGGGTGAACGTGAGTGTAACGAGTTCAGGGCTCATCAAAGCGATTGAACGCTCCATCACAAAACTATTACCGCGTATTCGCAGCATTTTAGACCCGGAAGGTGTCGTTGAGACCTTTTATGATAGTGACGACAACCCGCAGCGACTTGTGGGCAAGCGTGTGCGAGTAAAATGGGCAAAGGATAAGTGGTACGAAGGCATTGTACAGGAATTTAACGAGGATACGTATGAGCACTTTGTCGTGTATGATGATGGCGATAAACGGTCGTACCACATGTCGGAAAAACTTTTCTATGTTGTGAACCTGACTTCGTCACCCAAATCACGCCAGAGAAAGCTCCAACAGCAACAAGCTTGAACAACCGGACTTGTAATTAGTCTTACAAAGAGTTAAAAGGTGGCCAGTCTTGTCGTAAGCTATTACCGTAAGGGTCTGCTCCCTCATTTAACCCAGCAAGGTTGGTGATTTGGCAGTGCTCAAGAAAACCATGATGTTGACTAAGCGCTGTGTATTTTTATCAGTTAGAACCTTATCTTGAAACCGAGGCGATATAATCCTGTCAAGCATTAGAATGTTGATGGAAATTGTGGATATTACGACCGTTAGAATAGAGATGACCTGTGAAGAAATGAGGAACAGGACAAGCGGATGTGAATGGAACCCAAGACATATTTGTGCAAGCTTCAAATATTACGAGCTTTATTAGAGGATATGACGCAATCGCACTGCAAAATGTGGTGACGATTTGACTGAGAGCGAGCAAACAGAAGTGAAATCGGAGGTGATTAGCTGTTGCCCACATATTCAACGATGGCTTCGAAGCAATAGGTCTTGCTCTCAACTTTTTCCAAAAAAAATTTCGACGACTTCGGCATTTGTGCCACCCTACTTAATTGCTACTGATAACAAGTACAAGGTGCACGCAATCTAACTGAATTAATCTGGAGGACGTCAAGATATGAAGTGATGGTGTCGGTCTTGGCGACTTTATGGGACTTTAAGCCCTACGCATCATGACCGTAGCTCACATTTACGTCACGCGTAGGGTTCCATCACTTCGTAGCTCAAGCTAGAATGGTTGATCAAGCACGAAAGATGGGCTAATCATTCGGCCCTACTATGGTGAACGCACACATTACCCAGTTGCCACTAGGACTAGAGCGAAGCATTGAATTAGCGAGGTAGAGTATCATGATATAACCCCATGATCAGTACGGTATGGATGAGGGTGATGGAGCTCCTTTAATAAGAGATTTATAAGGACGTTATGCATTTTATTATCATAGACATCAAAATAGATACATGTAATGCCACTATCAGCTAGTCTTAATGCCAAAGTCTTTGTATTTAGCTTAATCTGTTCGGATGCACGATAATCCAGCTGCGTCTGGAACACTTAGTGGTTGCAGCGCGGAAAAGTACATGTTACTTAAGAGGCTCTCAGTAGACAGCACCCGAAATTCTCCGGTGGCAGTTTGGCGAGCGGCTAGCCTGTCTTCTGTGCACTGATTACGAGGAGGAAGAGTCAAGACTTAATCCTTTCGAGATGCACGATAATTCTGTTGCGTCTGGACCACTTAGTGGTCGATTTTTGACGACCGAGTTAAAATAAAAGTGTCCCTGTTATGAGGATGAAAGATTACATGCTTTGCAGCGAGGCTGCCGTAGCTCTTTGCTTAAAGGAAGCTAAGCTAAGGTCACCGATCTTGCGTCCTTTCAAAGAACCAGTACTAGTGTAGCGGGTCGCAACCCGCTACTACTAAGTACTAAAGCCTTACCAAGGCAAACCAACCTTTCTGATCAAAATCGAAACTGAATTTGATTGTTTAGTTGCGGCAGAGCCGCTAATGTCTGATTAAGCAAAACCTAACGAATACAGCAATATGCATTACTACTGGCATCCTGCCACGCGGTGGCTTTTTATTACGGTGTAGCCACACTGCGTTATCCCACGAACTATGAAATACACACCTATGTACGGTAGCACAATTTTGTGCGACCTACCCTTTTCTCACAAGGGCACGTGTAACCCCGTTACAATTTTCGTATCTGGGCTCTTGACAAAAATTCAAGCATTAGAAGATCTCAAGAAAATATCGTTATCAACAGCCAAAGGCGCGAATCCTGTAATCGTTGGCTTATAGGCGACCACCAGCTATAAAATGCGTTAAGAATACACCTCTAACGTTTCATTAAGCAAGGATCTACAAGCACAACAGGCGTAGTCGCCGATTGTGAGCATCAGGTTCTTCGGATTGAACTAGATTCAGATGGCATTTTCATTACCAGACTGTTCAAGCGACAAAAATCGCGGGTATTCAAACCTCCTTAACAGAGTTACTGAGTGTGATCGAAGTTCTTGTCCACCAATGAAGGGGGCGAAAAATAAGCGGACTCTGCCCAGACGCATAGCGAGGATGGTGGCAGGCCCTATTCTAGAAAGGGTACTAATCTTCAATGGTATGGAAACTCCATATAACCACTTTTATAAGAGCGGTTGGTGTCGAACTGAGCGCAAACCACAACTTTCGTGACTTGAGGGCCGATTGGGGCGCGGAAGGTGAAGACATTACGAGTGCTTCAGATGCAATTAATCTCAGCCAAATCGAGAGCAACGAGAGCCTGATTGAAAAAGCGCGAGACAGCTTCCTAAGAGACTTTTAGCTCAGCCTCGGGGCTAACAGCCCAGTGTGCATCAAAACATTGGATTTTATGAAGCCAGAATATTTTTAATAGATTCAGAAGGGACGTGCAACTGCGTGCGATGTGCGACCGTTGAAATCATCAAAGATGATGAGTACCATTTCACGCGCAATGAGATAAATTGGTGAAGGCGAGGACCTTAAAAGCACAGAATGCTGTTGGTGTAACGAAATGCTGAATAGGTATACTATACAGTCTTAGGTATGGCGTGGCCTGAGTCATAAATAACTAGTTTGGGTATCACACACATTTCTCCCAGTGGAGCTGTGGTGTCAATAAGCAACCCTTGTTTAAGAGCAAAAGCGCGGGCACAAAGCTGCAATTAATTTGCTTAATATATGGTATTTTCCGATCTAGTTTTCAGCAATTTTCTATCGTAAGGACCGTAGGCTTAGCTTATTGCAGTAGAACAATTGACTTTCGTCTGAGTTTATATTGATGTGATGATATTAGCGACGTTATGTTGCGGTTCCCGAAAAGAGTTTATTTTACACTATCTTCGTGCAAATTGTTGTCCAGACCAAATCACATCCTTAAAAATATTTGGAATAGCGGCACTGACAAATTCTCGATTGCCAATTTCTATAAATGCCTGTGGACCATGGTTTCCAACGAAGTATTTCATTAAAAGGTCGTCGCTGGCGTCAAAAAGGATACCCTTGTACATTATTCTCAAGTGTTTAATATTAATATCCATTACCGATTCCTCAGAATTGCACGACTATGGACGAACATATCGTAAAAAAGAGGTCTTTAAGTCACCGCGATGCGGCTTTAGCTGCTTTGGCACTAGCTCGCTGGAACGTGAAAAGCCCCGTGAGCATATTTAGTGGGCCCCAAATCATTCCACTCGAGGTACTTCGTGTACTGCGTTACTCGAGCAAAATATTTATTGAGTGTTAGCACTTCGCTCTAACTCCTCGGTCGCTACGGG